TACAAAAAAAACTTACCGCCAACCAGTAGAAGGTAATAATACAAATAATGCTACTTGCAGCGTACCGAAACACTACGAATACTGATAAACGTTGACGCAATGATACATCGGTAAAATGGTATCATCTATGGAAAAGAAAATCAGCTAAGTAGATGCGCTCTGGTGGATGATGACCAGATTACTGAATGTAGTTGATATAATAATATAATATGTGATAAAAAATAGGCTATTTACATTTTAATCTAGGTACCTACTTACTACTTTCCTAAATGAAAAATAAGTTACCGGAAATGTTGGCAGGTTACACGATTTTTGCGATTCTGGTATCTACGATAAGGAAATTAATAATTTTATCGTTGCCCAGGAATTGTAATAAATATATAATAATATGCAAATATAATTAAAATAAGAGCGTACTCGGACATTTTTTGTCTTACGTCTTACAAGTGCGTAACATACCAAATTTATATTCAGCAGACTACGTTTAGCTTCTTGTTTAGTTTAAAAATTAGAGTCAACAGACCTATTACGATTGATGAAACTTGATGGTAAGAACATTACCTGTGTTTGAATGTGAATTTGACCAAACTATTTTATACATCCTAGGCTTCATCGGTATTCGTATTTTTACAGTAACATGTTAAATATTATATACCTTCTCATACTATCGACTGGTAACTGTCCAGTGGAGCCATTGTGGTATATTATTTGTATATATATTATTGTATATATATTATAATTTTTATATCTGTTTGTATCGTCGTCTTTACGTATAATTATTATCTGTTGTATAAGTTCTAGTTTTACGCTCGTCACCAAATTAATATATCTGTAGGCGCCAGGTACGAAGCAATAATAGCCCGTCAGCCTGGTCGCTTTACTTCGCGTGCTCACTCACACACCGACCGACCTGTGTATTTGTGTGTATGTATGTATAGCGACTCTAAGGAAGTGGACGGGGTTGCCGAGCAAGACTAGAGAATGCTACTGTGTGTAGGTGTGTAGACTTAATACAAACGGTAGGAGGGTAACTCAAATAATTGGTAACAGAATTGATAAGTAACTGGTTGTTGTATTATTACTAGGGTTAGGATATTTATGCACTAAAAAATGTATGAATATGTATGCACTTATGCACTAAAGCACTAAAAATCAACTAAATATGCATGAACAATATGAAAATATGCATTAAAAATGAAGACATTTTTGGACAAAAAATGCAACAAACATATTTTATTATTATAGACAAATTGAAAAAAACTGAAAAAAATTAAATAAAATATAAAAAAATTAAAAAGAGTTGCATTGAATAATTAAAGTTTGTTTTAAATGTTCCGCTGTAAATCTTCGTCTGTTTGGTGCTAATACGTTTTTGAATTTATTGAACAAAAAATTTCGATGTAAAAAATTGTATTTATTTGAATTATTATAAGTTAATTTAGATTTATTATTATTTAATTATAATTTATATAATAATTTAATTTAAATAATAATAGTCACCTGAAAAAGCTCCTCTCCACTTCAACAGACGTAATTGGTGAAAACTTAAAAATAACGAAATCCTCCGCAGTTAATTCCTCTTCGATCCCCTCAATAATTTCAAGTTCTCCATTAAGTACTTTCGAAATTTGACATACTGTTTTGAATCCACTGTTTTTCTCTAGAATCGTTTTAAATTTACTACATATTTCGTTGCCGATTTGTCCACCGGCTTTGTTAATGTTATCTGTCATTATTAATGAAATTCTAAGAGTGTGTTGAAATTAAAATTTATCTCGATGTACTCACTTGTTCTAAAAAAAGTATACATAATATTTAATATGTTCAATTTTATGTTTATGCTATATTTTAGAAACCGATGACATTGCGAACGCTGTGATTTTCATGCTCAGCGACTATTCTACCATGATAAACGGAACGTCCCTCGTAGTTGACGGCGGATTCTTAGCAGGATAGACAACTTTGCTGAGAAACAAAATTATTAAAGAATTCACTCATTCAAAATAAAAATTTACTGTTTTTTAATATTTCATGCCAAATGTACATTGTCTTACAAACGTATGATTCACTTCAGGTGGAATTTTCTGTTCCTATTTTATATTATGTTCATAATTAACATTGTTCTTTATATAAATTAGTTACTCACTAGTATGTACAACATGTATAACTAAACATGTCCAGTTCATATAATATATCAAACCTATACATTAAAACCTTAACTTTTCGAAATTTATTTGTGACTTTTGGTTTCTAGCCATAATAAATAGATGATTCATGTTTTTGAAATTGAAATTTATTAATGTACAAAGTACTAATTGTTTGTTATTTATATTGTATTTTAAATCATTAGTCATAGATAAAATCTAGAGTATAAATATTTAATGTGATGGATTAATGAATTATGACAATAATTATTATTACATAACAGTGGCACTTTGACATATATTTTTACATAAGGTGACCAAATATTAAAAACACTTTTGTCTATTACTCTAACATATAGTAACATATGTATAATGTATTCTTTAAATCGTATAGGTTATGCTTAGTGCTGGCTGGTACTAAGCAGTTATACACAGATAAATTGTATTTTTATAAACAACCAATTTTAACCCATGTAAACTTTAATATCGTAATACATTTTAATTCAAATCTTTAATATCATGAAGTTCTTACCAAAGCTAATATATTCTATAGTTACTGCAAAGTTGAGCAAAAATCCACAATACATTTCGTGAACGTTTGAATTTAGACGAAATTCGTAAAATTACGAAAATTAACAAATTATTTTGTGTTAGAAATATTTATGATTTAAAAATTGAATACAAGTTTCCTTATAAGTTTGTTCACCTTTGTCAAAAAAAAAAATTTACAGGAAAGTCAAATTTAACATTGGATAATAACTATTTCTCATGTAGTGATTTTCTTATTGTGTTGTAATTCAAAAACAAATAACAGTAGACAGCTGAAATTTACACAATATATTTTATCAATTCATATACTTGATCAAATATTCAAAATATTTTGACTTGTTTTAATCTGTTGATGGGCATTTCTTTTTTGTTTTTTTTTTCTTTAAATGTCAAATTGAAAATTGAAATATGATTTTATAATTAAAAATTTATTACATTTTCAAATTTTATAGCTAAGGATTGAAATTTAAAACCAGTTTCCACTTAAGCAGTTTTTTCCATAAATAAAAAAAGCTAAAAAAAATAATACACATATAGTTATTTTTACAGACTTTTAAGTTCACATTTGGACAAAATTACATATTAACACAAAGATTTCAATGAAACGTTTAACTGCGTAGAATAAAATCTAACTTAAAATACCAAATGTAGTGTACAGAATTATGTAGATATAATTTTTATAGGCACTTAAATAACATCAAAATTATTACCTTATTATACTATAGATTCTAGGTACTAATTACCGACTTGCCGTTATTATTGTCGTATCGGGTTTATCATATACATTCCGATTAGAGGCTAATCAATAGCTGATTACGACAATGTTAATTGTGGTCATATTTGACACTAGGTAGGTACTAGACGTTGTTATTATTTTATGTATTAGTAGGTATTTATATTTAAAATTAACTGAATTGTTATATTGTAGTTTATATTTTTTATTTTATTAAATAGCTCATTAAAAATTGAAAACTTGATTGGGGGGCTGAGTGAGATTTAAAAAACCAAAATGGGTGTGAGTAAAAAAAGGTTGGAAAACACTGATATAGACCTATTAGCCTACTCCCTAGACTGTCAAATTTATTTGAAAAAATCCTACTAAAAAGAATTCTGAATATTACTGAAGAAACAAAAGTCTTATTCGAAACACAATTTGGTTTCCGTAGCAACTATAATCTATCAAATTCACGAAAAAATCATTTTTACTAAGAGAAAAGCAATATTACACTTGGGCCTTCTTAGACGTTTTCCAAGCACTTGACCAAGTCAGGTCTACTATTAAAATTGAAACTCATCCTAGAATCTAATTACTTCATCATACTTAAGTCCTACCTTGAAGATCGCTTCTTCTCAGTACGTCAGCTATCTCTTCACAAAAGCGAATTAATACAGGAGTCCCTAAAGGCGCAGTCACTGCTCCCCTGCTGTTTAATATTTTCATATATGGTCAACCCGAGCTACCCACATGTCTCGTTGTTGATTTTAACGATGACATTGCTACTATAAGCAATAGCAATTACCCCTCCGTTGCTTCCTTACACATACAAAAATATCTCTCGCTCCTCGAAAAATAGTACCCTTATATTTTTTTGCGGGGAGTGAAAATTAATAAGTCTAAATCGATACACTGTAAATTTACTCTTAGAAAGGAAAAATGCCCACCTATTAAATTAAAAGACCAAACTCTGATAGCCGCGTCGACAGGTCGTTAATTAGGAATCATCATTGATCAACGATGTTGAACATTGTGACGATCTTAAAAAAATAATTGAAAGATCTCCCAATCATCCAAATAATTTTATCATAACATACATATCTGGATATAGAGTAATAAGTTTTTTCACCTGCCAAGACTGTCAAAATAATTTGAAGCTTCACAACTTTGAAGAACTTAACAGAAAAAAAGTGTTAGAAGTACGTAGCAGAGAAGGATTATTATCTTCTAGCAATGGACTGAATGATTTTATTTCAACATTAGAATCAGTTATTATTGAATCGATTGAAACTAATAAATTAAATGTCTATACATTTTTTTTAAGTTGAAATTGTAATAAGAAATTATTGAAAACTTGCTACTTGTTGGTTGCATTGATCATTCATCCATTAAACACACATTGCTTGTCTAGTAGTATAAGGTCTATGGTAGTATAGGAACGGGGAGTCGTTAATCTAGTATTTTTTATGAGGACCACTTTTCCTGAAGTGTACGTCGTCGTAAGTAAATACCTATATATATTTTAATTAATGTAAGAAACGAAACGAAAATGAGTAAAAATCGTCATTTGTATATTAATCGGCTACTCAAAATTATAATAGAAATCCTTCGTCCTCGGCTGTTTCAATGTCTCCTACTCCCCCGTCCTCCATTTCACCATTTTCTATTCCTCCGTATTCGATCATTTTTCTTTCGACATCTTCGTCGTTGTCTTCGTCGTTGTCGTATACCCAAGTGTTCGTCGTTGTTGGGACCATGACCTTATCCGACGGCGGCACAGTAGGTACAATGTCATAAAATGACGTGCCAGGTGGACGAGCGTTTTGGGCAAATTTGAAGAGTTCGCAAAAGGCCAATTGGCGGACAACCTCAAACCGGCCCAGCACGTCCCGCTGGTATGCGGCCATCAGGCATTCGTTCACCCGATTCCAACTTGGCAGGGCTGTCAAGTTCCACAGCTGATAAGAATGGTACCACAGCAGCACACTATTTCTAGCCCTGCGGTACACAGCGTCCATGCACTTGGTGAATACGTACTCATCTCGGTGGAGTCGGCACAAGTCCGCGTCTGTCATGACCGCTGCCGGCGAAGACAGGGACGGTGATTTGCCATTACCGTCGTCGTCGCTGCAGCTCCCCGCCAGCTGCGCACTGCCCCACAGAAATCCAACGAACTGGTAACCACTCAGGCACCAGTTACCCATGTTACCACCGTACTTGCTGATCGATGGAGTCAGTTGAAAAGAACGAATCACGTTGTCCACGATGTCCAAGTACCTGCCAAATAGACTGATATGTATGATACTGGTGACTTCAGCTGAATAATGTTTTCCTCGTATCACATTGATTGCACTTCATTCAACTGCGATGGCTTTATTTTTTATCCAACAGTGACAATGCCATACTCGACTCATATACATACTATTGCGGCAAGTGGTAATAAACCAGCTTACAGAACGTACCCATTATCCAATTGAATTGTGGAAGCACCACCTAACAAAAACGTACGAACTTGTGGGTCCGTGGTTTACTACTGCATTAAATATTAACTAAAATGTATTGCTTTTACAATACAACAAGTAGTTGAGTGTATTATTTAATTTTTTTCAGGGGACATATTGTGCGTTTAGTTCGATTTATGGAGCCTTAGGTTTCTATCCTGGTCGTATCCGTCCACCCATCTGTTAGTTACCAGTTAAAAGTTACGATTGTTGATGAACTATTTATATTGTACATTAACTATATTAGTTGTTTAGAAGCTAGCAGTTTGGCATGCTCGCCAAGTCTCGAGTCTATACCATATCATATTATTCATATTGAATTGTATTAGTTTATTCATAATTCGTTTTGCTATCATAAAATATTAAATTAATCAAGAAAGATGTATACCTATTACCTACAATTGAATTTAAACATGAATGAAGGAATTCTGATATTGATTACTTTTGATTATATTGAACACAAAAATATTTTAATAGGTATTTAGTCATTTTTATGGGTCACATTTATTCTATCAAAATTATTTATCGTTATTTACCTGTCGAAGATCACGGACACCACGTACGGTTCGTCGGCCCACGTCAAGTGGTGTAGCTTGAACAGCGACACCAGGAAAGCACAGAACGATAGTTCGTGGGCAGGTCCGTAGGCCATCGTGAACGGGTCACCGAAGCTCCTTTCTAAGTAGACGGGAAGCAAAACGTCCCGGTAGTTGGCACGGCTACGACCGCCGTACGTCCGGTCAAGAAGCTTCCGTCCGTCGTCCCGCAGCTGGCATTGAAAATGGCAGAAACCTTCTGCTGCCGCTTCCGGGTTGTTGTCTCCGTAGCCCGCGGGCATGCAACGTTTAACCGCCCACTCGCCGACCGTCCGCAACACCGCTAACGCCCTGTCCACGTTGTCATTACGTGGCCGCCGACACCGCCACACAGACGCCGCCGCTGGGTAACGTTTGGCCACATCGTTCATGTGGCGGACGAACACCAAAACGTCAGCCCGAGCTTCGCTGCGCTCCCAGTCGAACATGTCCTGCGGTTGACATACCCGATGGCAAACCAGCTCCACCTGAAGACTGCCACCGGCAACCGGAATACTGGTGCCTGTCACCGGAACCGGAAACTTGAGGGTATCAGCGTAGTCTTCAGCATCCAAATCGGAGTCGATGCTGTAGGTCTGCATCGTGTTTTTATATTAATTACAAATATATAATATAATGTATTTCGTATTATTCGAACGTCCGCAGGTAACAATGGGATGCTAATATTAGTATAAGAGATTTTAAAGTGAAAATTTGAGGTAACTAAAAAAAGCTCCCGCATGACCTATATTCGACTATAATATCATCTACAATCTGTATTGTTTTTATCTATAGTAATATTACAAAGCAGTTGTTATGAAAACCTGTTTTTTTTATATAACTGTATATCGGGTGCCACAATCGTGGTGACGTAGTGAGAGCTAAGTAAACAAAAAAAAAACTCGAAGCGGATTTTACTTTGTAAAAAACCTTGAATGCTTAAATAGCTGATAAAAAAAATATGAAAGATAACTAACCAAGGTAAATATTAATTAATTTATTTGTTTTAAGAGTAACGCTAACCGTCTTTTACAAAAGAGCAAAAATAAATATAGTATAATATGATAATAAACAATACTAAACAATGAACTAAGTAACATTATTATAAATATAACAGTTAATAGAGAGGTAAATAAACAATAAACAATTAGAGGGCAACGACCAAACCATAATGGCAGACCTAGGGATTTTTAATCCTTAGCTATAAAAGTTGAACATTTCATACATTTTTAACTGCAAAATCATTTTTCAATTTGAGAAATTTTGAACTTTAAATTATTATACAACAAAAACATGCCAATGTATTTTCAATATTTTTCAACTCATATTGTAACAATATATCAAAGCCTTGAATTAAATTTTAATACTTTTTGACCCAACAAATACCATTTAATTCACATTTATAGAAAAAATGAAGAAAAATGACAATTGAGAATGTCCGTCAACCATTTAAAACATTGTAAAAAATACATTTGTTTGGATAAAGGAAGACAAACTTATAAGGACACTTGTATTACATTTTTAAATCTTCGATATACAAATAACAATTTTTATGAATTTTATCAAAATTCTAAGTTGTATTTACGCTCAACTTCTTTTTTAAATTTCCATTAACAACAAGTTACAAGGAACCTTGTATTACAATCACAAGTTTTTTGACCAAGCGAACATTTTTTTTATCGACTTCAATTAAAAAAAAAACAAATAAAAATCGAAAATTTCATATGCCTATAAATAGTTCAGCACAAATCAAAATATTTTGAAAAATTTTATGGTGTATAGAAAATGCGTACATAAATATTTAGAGAAAATTTCATATATCTAGGGTTATTTTTGTTAGAGTAACAATAAAAACCAAAATCTATTTTTTTCTAACACTGGTTTTGAGTACAAATTCCTGTTTTTCCTTCATTTTTTGTTTGCTTATCTTGTTGCTTTTGAAGACTATTGGGAATTTTAAATGTTGACCTCCGAATGCATCAACTAGAAATTTTCCCTTTTACTGCAAGAGAACGTGATGAAAAACACAAAAAAAATTAAAAACGCACATAATTTTAAAATCAATACATTCATCGCTCCGCTCAGAATTTAAAATAAGAAATAAACTTGACATTTTTGTCTGAAAAATTATATTTTTTTCAGCTACCTATGGATTATAAATACAAAACTTAAATTGAAATAAATTAAGTTTATGTATACATATAATATTACTGATTTCCGGAAATTGATTATAAAAATTAAAAACATGTCCTAAAAGAAGTGAAGATGTTTGCATAGAAATTATAAAAAAAAACAATTTAATTACATACATGAACCCAAAATTAATAAATTAAATTATTTTTAAAAAGTAGAATAATGACTGTCATTCTTTCAATTTTGAACTTAAAGCCAAGAATTATGGGTCAAATCGACTTTGAAAAATTCGGTCAATTCAAATCAAGTGCTAAAAATAGGTGTTTCCATAAAAAAAAATGCTCACAGTGGTAAGAATTTAAAAATGTCATAAAATATGTATTTCAGTATCTCTTAAGTTTCCCCCAAAATGTGGTCGTTGATTAATATTTAATCAGTAGAAACCTATTCAAGAATGAAATCACAAATGTTTATGATGTTTAAGTATACAAGGGAATGATAGTGAAATTTAGTTTAATTGACTCTGTGTAAAAAAATAACATACATTTAAATCCATACACTTTAGCGTTACCATTACTATGAAATGTACAAAGATCAACAAGGTGTTTTGAAAATAATAATATTGCTTTGTTAACCTTTGTTACATTGTTTTGAAATATTTACTGTTAAATATTATATTATTTCATGATATTGTTAGATATAAATTTTCTTTTAGATTACTATTTTTTTATAAGTACACTTTTGGCGTTTGCCCCTCCACGACGTGCGGTCGGTGTTTTCTCCTTTATCGCTTATCCTCTCCTCTCTTAACCGATGCATCGGTCCTTAATTACCGTCTACGTTACTCGCCTACTATCGAGTTGTGTGTTGTTTTTCGCGTGGGGAAGTCGGACCGTTGTTTCCTTGTAATATCACTATCAGGCTTGTTCAGCTACTTTCTTGTCTCTTGTGTATATGAGATGCTTATCATCTCTCTTTCCGGCGCTCTTTGATATGCCACTGAAATTAAATCCTTTTCCACATCCTTCGGGTTCTGGCAACAAACCCGTCACCCGAAGTACTTCTTCCTCCATCCATTCACATGATATACTAAAAGCTATTGCGACCTTGCAATGATCTTCTCATGAGAAACTTTTTAAGTTAAATGAGCAAACCGGTGCTAAGCACTCTGCTCAGTTTAATGAACTCAAGCTAAACCAGGGTAATATCTATTCCGAAATCTCTGATTTAAAAGCCAAAAACTCTAATTTCCATGCTGTATATTTACTTTAAAAAACAAAATACGCCTGCTGGAATCGACGCAAAGTGCGTCCTCCAGTGAACAAATGTAGTTATAATGTGATTGCCCGTCGTTTAATCTCAGAGTCTACTTCGCACACCCCTCAAGAAAGAATTGCCGATAATATGAAATCCGTCTCCGTTACTATGTTCAATCTTTCTGTCATAATATGCCCCTGACATTAAATTATTCAGGCTCTTGAAAAATTTCAACAACACCACTCGCCCTCTAAAAATAAATTTTAAATCGAAGGCAAAAGCAGTATCTTTTCTGTCCTCCCTTAGTAGCACCATTCTCTGCTTCCCCTTGTCATGAAATTTGTTCATGGCAGATCCAAACTTGAACGTAACATCCTGCATGATTTACACAAAGAGCTAGATCATTGCGAGCATAATGGGAAAATTAACTTATCCATCAAGTAAGTCAATGGTATACCACAAATCATTTTAACTTCTTCAAAAAACGGATCCGAAGGGCGCCTCAACCAGTCTGCCACTCTCTTGAATTCGCCATCTATCTACGCTCTCTCTGTACTCTTTGGATTCTATCAGTACAGCAGTGGCTTAAGAACTAAACTTCGCAATCTTATTTGGTAATGTATCTAAATTGTTTTATATTTATTTCTTTAACTGAAACTTACTTGGTTGAATAGTCATATTTCTTCTTGTGAACTAGATTTAAATAATTATATTGTTTATTGATGTGATAGAAGTAACAGTACAATTATTTTTTTAAGGGGTGGTGGGGTTCTCATTGCTTTTCGAAAAGATACAATTTCTTACCGAATCACTACCGTATCTAATAATTCCATAGAATATCTATTTGTTAGCTTTCTCTATTCTAACACCAACTATATTATGTTGTCTCTTCTGTTTATTTACCTCTCTATAGTCCCTCTTACTTATACGAATCACACATGGAAATCATTGAATCCCTAGTTCATGCGAACCCCAACATTTCATATATCTTCTCTGGAGACTATAATTTACCATGCATCACATGGTCAAATGAACCTGATGAATTAAAATTCTCTTCGTCCTCGAATACTGAAATACTTCTAGCTCTTGCTTTCCTGAGACTTTCACATTCTTAAACTTTTTCAAACATAACTTTGTTTTCAACTCAACTCAGTCCTTGCTTTACTTTATATTTTTTAATACTGCCAACTTTCTTGTTGAAAGGTATCTTAACTATTTCGTGCCTGTGACTCCTTCCGCCTAGTCTTAGAGATCTCACTTCAGACCACCCTTCCTCTCACAAATTTTTTGACTTTGTAAGGCAACCGACCAACTGCTCCAAAATGATATCTTCAACTAACTATTTCAGTTGGCCGCAACATTACAGAACGATACTAACTAGATGCCAACTCAGCCACTTATTGCCTAATTACACTTTGCATTCTTCCATACTTAATTTCATCCCCGGAATCCTCTTTGCCCCGTCTAAGTTTCCTCCGTAGTATACTAGTGAACTAAAATCGTAGGTGTTCAATAAAAAGTGTGCGCATGCAGCTTACAAGTCAATGAAGACTATTTTCAATTTTCACAGCAACGTACTCGATTTAAATATCTATCTAAAAAATGCCATAAGGACTACCTACTTCGTACTGAATCTCAAATTAACAGCAACCCGCGTAGCGTCAGGAAACTTGTACGCAAGAGCAGTTCTAATTCAGGATTACCCAATCTTATGCATCTAGACGACTAAGATTTCTCAGGAATTGAGCAAAAAGCCAATATATTCTCCACTTACTATTTTTGTACATCTTGTGTTGTTTAAAGTTGTGAAGTTAAGACTTAAAACTTGTGAACATTTTAATGATGTGTTGCAGACTGTCTTTGATATTATTAATGATGTATCAAAACTTGTTCAAGATTATACACACGTACGATGTGGCAAATTTTCATTCAAATATATTTAAATGCAAATACAATGCTTTATAATTTTTAAATCATTTTTATTTTAGTTAAGTTTCAAGTCCGTTAATTTTTGGATTAGTGTAACCCCATAATAACGTCATGGTCAACTGGTCAAGACACAAGACAACCTTTTTTCCACCTTTAATACAACATTCTACATTTCAATGGTACTCAATATCCTTCTTAAAAATACTATGAAAAATAATATAATAATATTCTAAATAAATTTAATGACTTTTATTAATTTAATTTCCACCTTAGCAAATGTTGT